ACAGACACCTAGGGACTATAAACACTGTATCATCTACAGACACCTGGGGACTATAAACAATGTATCATTTACAGACATCTAGGGAATATATACAATGTATCATCTACAGACATCTAGGGACTATAAACAATGTATCATCTACAGACACCTAGGGACTATAAACACTGTATCATCTACAGACACCTAGGGACTATATACAATGTATCATCTACAGACATCTAGGGAATATATACAATGTATCATCTACAGACACCTAGGGACTATAAACAATGGATCATCTACAGACACCTAGGGAAGATATACAATGTATCATCTACAGACACCTAGGGACTATATACAATGTATCATCTACAGACACCTAGAGACTATAAACACTGTATCATCTACAGACATCTAGGGAATATAAACACTGTATCATCTACAGACACCTGGGGACTATATACAATGTATCATCTACAGACATCTAGGGAATATAAACAATGTATCATCTACAGACACCTAGGGAATATAAACAATGTATCATCTACAGACACCCAGGGAATATATACAATGTATCATCTACAGACACCTAGAGACTATAAACACTGTATCATCTACAGACATCTAGGGAATATAAACAATGTATCATCTACAGACACCTAGGGACTATATACAATGTATCATCTACAGACACCTGGGCAATATAAACACTGTGCGACAGATTTGAATTGTACATAGGATTATGGTCGCCTTCTAGCTTTGAGCTGTAGGGAATTTCTCTTTAGCTCCGTGGTAGAGCATTTGGTTAGGAACCTTTTGATCGTGGGTTGGATCCCTGGTGGAAGCACACTATTCTCTTTCATGTTATTAACGTATCTTCTACAGACACCTGGGCAATATAAAAAAAATAATGCATCATTTAGATGCCTGTAGATTATAAATGTCAGAAGAAGTGCATCTTTTACGTAATCTAGTGAAGATAAGCAACACATGTGTTAAAACAGAATGTGTTTTAATTTTGAATTCCTTACACTTACCCTGATATTTTCTGAAAATGTGCGTTGCATGAAGGGCAAGTCTTCGCTTTATTGATCAGATATATACTGCTCGACATTTCTTCCTTCATCTTTTCTATTTTACGCTTGAGTCCCTCTATATGTTTATCTCCTTTGAGTCTGTCCTCCAAAGCTTTGACCGTTTCTTCTTTATCAGCACACTTCTGTCCCTTTCATGAAATGAAAAGCCAAGCAATTCTTTATATAAATACTGTATCCATTTTAGTCTTCATATTCATCAATCTGTTAAAAACTCAAGTAACACAGTCAGAGTAAAATTGTTTGTCTTAAGGCCCAAGTGCCATCAGGATCACCAGTAACATAACATAAGGCTACTTAAGCAATGAGCAGATATAATATTTATGCCCAGATCTTTGTACCTATAACAAGAGGCTTGGAAGGCCTGTAATGCTCCTCTTGATATTCAAGCAATCATGCTGCTTTAATATAGTTGTAAGGGAACAACATAGCTTGCCTTTGTGACATATTTTAAGTTAGTAAATATCAATAGAAAAACATATTGGTAAACATAAAAATATGAGCTATAGCAAGTTACAGTGTTACATATCTAAATATTACAATATATATATTACATGCATTACAATAAAACAGCTTTAGAAAAAAAAGGTAGAAAATGAAATTTTTGAAAGTTGCAAGGTATCATGAAAAGTTTAATTATAAGTTAGCCCTTTTGGCCCCTAAAATATGAAAATATTGCACATTGCTTTCACTGTACATACCCGTGGTAAATGCCTCAACCTTATAACTGTCAACAGACTATTAGGTGTGGTGATATAACATTGCACAATATTTGTTTTTTACCTAAAGTTCAGATTGACAATGATCCAGGTTTTATATATAGCGTAACAAAGATTTCACAATAGACTTACCTGATGCCACAGCTTGTTACATAAGGTACAGAATGAGAACTGACACGTGATACAGTAACCCAGGTGAAGTGTCTTGTCACTCTCCTGTACAACCACACCTTCACATCGCGGACACCATACAATGTCTCCCATGTTGTCAAGGGCTTTCTGCAAAACAAAATATATTGATTATAGTTGGTTTTCCTAACAAATAACAACAAGAGGCCCAATGGGCCTGCATCGCTCACCTGTTATTAATCTAACACTTGTAATCTTAAGATTTCATAAGAACCTATTAAAAGATTTAAACATATGACGCCTCTGACCATGATTGTCGAACAAGGACATTAGGTTGAAAGTGGATCAAGGTCATTCATTTGAACTAACATGGTAATCCTTCATCCCAGCATGCTACAGGCCCAATTTCAGTACCCTGGCCCTTTTGCTTATTGAAAAGAAGTCGCTTGAAGATTTTACGACATTTGACCCCTGTGACCTTGAAAGTTGGTCAAGGTCATTCAGTTGAACAAACTTGATAGTCCTTCATCCCAGCATGCTACAGGCCCAATATCAGTACCCTGGGCCTTTTGGTTATTGAGAAGAAGTTGTTTGAAGATTTTAAGACATCTGACCCCAGTGACCTTGAAAGTGGGTCAATGTCATTCATTTAAACAAACTTGGTAGCCCTTCATCCCAGCATGCTACAGGCCCAATATCAGTACCCTGGGCCTTTTGGTTATTGAGAAGAAGTCGTTTGAAGATTTTATGACATTTGACCCCTTTGACCTTTGAAAGTTGGTCAAGGTCATTCATTTGAACTAACTTGGTAATCCTTCATCCCAG